ATGAAAATCTCTAATGTTATTAAAGAAAAGGTGTGACTGGAAAAATAATGGTTATGTACATTACAGAAACAACCCTGATTTTACCAAAAGGAGAAATTTGCCACATCATTCATTTAAAAGCTACATTTTCTGAAAGTATAATAAAACCTAATGTGATTGTTTTTGTGTTTTAGTGAAGAAAATATTGTAAAATATTTTCCAATGTACTTTGCCTGTTCTCAAAAAGACTCAATCACCAAGGGACTGAGATTAAAATACATCTTGTAAGCCGATCCGCCGATATCTTTACAGACTCGTCAGTGGTGGATGGTGATTTTTAAAAAGGTGGGAGCACAGTGTGGACAGTTGGCAGTATGACCTATAAATGTCTTTTTATTTCATTACTTTAGTAGGTTTGCTCCTTATATATAAATTCTGCTCTCCTTCATTAGAAGACTTCTTTAGAATGAAGTCAACATCATTAGCTGCAGTAACTGTGGTGTTTCAAAGCTTCTAACTCAGCTTAAACACACACACACTAACTACCAAACTATTCTACTAAAAATCACTTAGCAAAGAATCCAGATACCAGTTGCAACCAACTTAGGAGTCAAGCACTTAAGTCAAAACAGCATTAACATTTCATTGAATAAGCCAGATGCACATAAATAGTAACTTGAGCATTTTAAATGTACATATTTGAAAACATTGGTGACACATTCAGGCCGGTCAGTAGAGTCTTAGTTATTTGCATAGGCCTACCGACATGCCTTGTGCTGCACTGTTAATTGTGAAGTAACCAGTAAACTAATATGTGTTTTCATGTATTTACATTGTAAATAGTAATTATTATAATGGTTTGCAGTAAGTGCTATAATGTAATGTCTTTACCATACCGTGCATGTGCTTCCATTTAGTGGCATCTGATATATATCAGGACTCACCAATAAATGCAGAATACCCTTCATGGAGATTAACAGATGATCCATAGAAACAGAAAAGGATTGTGAGTGTAGAAATTAACAACATTTATCAACGAAATAACTGCAACGAAAAATTAAGTCAGACTGAACATACACATACAGCTTAGCTAGCAAGATACCTATGAAACTAGTCTATTAAAAATTACTAAACTTAGAAAATAAACAAATGATCAAATCCAATGCTCAGTGGTCAAATGCAACCAACAGAAAGCACAGCACTTTTCTGAATAAAGTGGGGCAGTGCATGGTTCAGTGGGCTAAGCCCCTGTGTCTGTGATCAGAAGCAGAATGGAAAAGGACGGTAAAGAAATATGAGGAATATTGAGAGGGGCATAATTAATCCATTTAAATAAATTAAGGAATCACAGTAAAATATTATTTCAATTGTCTAAAAGTTAAGCATATGATTAACTTTAATAAGATGCAGCGAAAAGATGCAGCAGAACATGATCTGTATACAGTATATGCATGTAAGAGAGTCCAGAGTTATACTGGAGGCAAGAGAAAGGAGAATATTGGTAAACATACAAAATGAGAGTTCAGGAAAGCAAAAAAAAAAATGTGTAAAGTAATATTATGTGATTTAATTCCATTAAGCTGGAGTCAAAGTGAAAAATTTTTGAATGCCTTTTACTCAACTCGCTGTAGCAATGAGACACAGTGGGATGTGATCTGTATATCCAGGTAAACCAGTTACTCACCTACTACTACTTAATCATGGCAGAGGGAAAAAGAAGAGAAACACATAGCAAGTTAAAAATCAGAACTTAGTGACAGTAAGAAGAACAAAGAGGGTCAGAACGAAAATCTCTAATGTTATTAAAGAAACGGTGTGACTGGAAAAATCATGGTTATGTACATTACAGAAACAACCCTGATTTTACCAAAAGGAGAAATTTGCCACATCATTCATTTAAGAGATACATTTTCTGAAAGTATAATAAAACCTAATGTGATTGTTTTTGTTTTAGTGAAGAAAAAATTGGAAAATATGTTCCAATGTACTTTTCCTGTTCTCAAAAAGACTCAATCACCAAGTGACTGAGATTAAAATATATCTTGTAAGCCGATTCGCTGATATCTTTACAGAGTCGTCAGTGGTGGATGGTGATTTTTAAAAAGGTGGGATCACAGTGTGGACAGTTGGCAGTATGACCTATAAATGTCTTTTTATTTCATTATTTTGGTAGGTTTGCTCCTTATATATAAATTCTGCTCTCCTTCATTGGAAGACTTCTTGCATAATAAAGTGATTTAATTCCATTAATATGGAGTCACAGTGAAAAAATGTTGAGGGCCTTTTATTCAACTCGCTGTAGCAATGAGACACAGTGGGATGTGATCTGTATATCCAGGTAAACCAGTCACTCACCTTTTCTTCCTTAATCATGGGAGAGGGAAAAATTAAGAGAAACACATGCAAGTTAAAAATCAGAACTTAATGACATTAAAAAGAACAATCAGGGTCAGAACGAAAATCTCTAATGTTATTAAAGAAAGGTGTGACTGGAAAAATCATGGTTATGTACATTACACAAATAAGCCTGATTTTACCAAAAAGAGAAATTTGCCACATCATTCATTTAACAGCTACAGTACATTTAAAATAATGATGAAACCCAATACGCAATGGTCAGTTGCAACCAACAGAAAGCACAGCACTTTCTGAATGAAGTGGGGCAGTGTATGTTTCAGTGGGCAAAGCCCCTGTGTCTGTGATCAGAAGCAGAATGAAAAAGGACTATAAAGGTCTTACTAAAAGGAGTACTTGGCCACACCATTCATTTAAAAGCTACATTTTCTGAAAGTATAATAAAACCTAATGTGATTGTTTCTGTGTTTTGTAAGTAAAATGCTGTAAAATATTTTCATTATTTTAGTAGGTTTGGTCCTTATATATAAATTCTGCTCTCCTTCATCAGAACACTTATTTAAAATGAAGTCAACAACATTAGCTGCAGTAACTGTGGTGTTTCAAAGCTTCTAACTCAGCATAAACACACGCATACAACTCAGGTAGCAAGCTAACTACCAAACTACTCTACTAAAAATCACTTGGCAAAGAATCCAGATACCAGTTGCAACCAACTTAGGAGTCAAGCACTTACGTCAAAATAGCATTAATATTTCATTGAATAAACCAGAAACACATAATTAGTAACTTGAGCATTTTAAATGTACAGTGGTACCTCAGAACTCAAACTTAATCCGTTCAGAACTCGGGTTCTAATCCTAAAAAGTTTGTGTTTCGATCGAATTTTCCCCATAAGAAATAATGGAAAACCAATTAATTGGTTCCCGGCCCCAAAAAATGACACCTATATATGTTTTTTTTTTTTAAAGCATTTAAACACAAAATGAACAGCATAAAACAAGAAGAGCATATACTAAACACATCTAAGCACATTATCAAACCAGTAAAGTAAAAAAAATAAATGTATCCAAACAATGTGTAAAGTTAAAAAAAAACCATGTGTCCTTCCCCGATCGTCCACTCCTTCTGTGTGCCACGCCCCCTCATTAACCTCGTGTGGAATCCCCATGTGATCAGCTGTTTCTGGATTGTTGTCATTAGTTCTAGGTATTTAGTCCGCGTTTCAGTTTGTTTCCCCAGTCCGTTGTTCTGTCGAGTTGAGCTACTCTGTC